TATATATATATATATATATATATATATATATATATATATATATATATATATATATATATATATATAAACTCCAAAACTATCATATATATATATATATATATATTGAGATGAAAATGTTCTAGAGTGTGTATTATTTAATTTCCATACCCAGCGCAAGCAGAAAGATGTTGTCTGCGAGGCGCGTAGCGCGTAGCGACTTTTACTAAACCTCTCGAGGCTTGAGGGACATTTCATCACTAATCGACCGTAATGCCATGCTATTACTTTGTAATATCACAGTTGCCGATGGAATCGCGCGTGGTGTGTTGCCTGTTTTGAATGCTGTTTGATTGTCTTATGATTGTGGTACGAACACTTTTCATATATACGCACGCGCAGAAACACATCTCCGTGTCCATTGGCGTTTTAGGCATGCGCATAAACGGAATTTTCTCCCACAATTGTAATGTTCAAGGTTAGGGAATAAAATCTGGCAAAGTGATTGTTCGAATGTGTACGGGACGGTGTCGTCAGATACTGTCCATAGTTGTGCCGATGATTTTCGATGAGGTTCAGCTCCCCAATCAGAGGTAATGAGGTGGTACGCTTTTGTCTTCTAAATTTCCCTCATCAAGCATGCAGGGGAGAATTAGAACTAATTTTACCACGGGCAAAATTAGTTCTAATTTTAATTCCATGTTTTAGTAATGAGGTAAATTAGTGATTAATCGTACCTCGCGAGACAAAGGATTTCGAGGCAACTATGGTATTAATATATATATATATATATATATATATATATATATATATATATATATATATATATATATATATATATATATATATATATATATATATATATATATATATATATATATATATATATATATATATATATATATATATATACTTTATAATTATACTTCAGTTCGGGTGGCGATTTAATATTAGCTACATTTCCAATATATTTCGCTAATTTGTGATTATATTTGTTAATTTTATAAGTTCATTGCAGTTTTAATTTAAATTCAGCCGTTTCGTTGGCTGCCCATGCTATAATTAGATTGTTGTTGTCGTTGTGTGAAATTTAAATTTCTCCTGCGACATTTTGATTGGATACTAAATATAAACTTTGCTGTGGGTGGAAAGCGATCGGGTTAAGTTTTGTGTCAGGCTCTATTTGTGTAAAATAGATCCTGATACTTAGGTTATTATCATAGTAATTAGTGTGTGATGATCAAATTTCCTTGAGATTGTTGCGGGCTCTCCTTTCGGCTAAGTTGAAAATGTTCTCGAGTGAGTATTTCATAATTTCCAGACAGCACGCAGGCAGAAAGATTTTGCTTGCTGCGGCTGGGTTTGAAACCTGCGACCTATACGAATTACTAGATTGACGCTCTGCCAGCTGAGCTACATTTAAGACTGGAACTTTATGAACTATATACTGAATGTCATAAACATACTCGTTTATATTATATTTACTTTTCCCAATTGCGATGAGACAATAGTTTTGTCGGCACAGCGCTGTCAACGTTGCCTTTGTTTAACTGCTGAAATCTAGCATCTACAGGGTGTCCCAAAAAAAAAGTGACACTATAGAAATTATCCAATTGTTATAATTTGAATGCCCTAGCAGTAAGTTGATCCCACAGGTGCATAAACTTCTGCTTCTGGAATTTAAAATAAAAAAAGCAAACCCTTTATTAGTGTAATCGTTTTGCTTGACTCAGGCGTTAAAATATTTGGACAAAGCGAAAACGTTTTAAAATCTTAAATGTAAATACAAGTTTATTAAATTCCTAGGCGTGTAATCACGCGCGTTTAAGAGCGGCTTAAGATAATGAGATATTAAATTTCTATAGTGTCACTTTTTTTTGGGACACACTGTATATAAGACATCCCTCACTTCCTCCTATTGCTCGTTTGCGATCGACGCCATCTTGGTTGATTGTCACAACATCTAAAAATCTATATTCTTCTTTCTTATTCTTCCTACTCTGGGGCGGTAAATCGCCGTGAGATAATGCGATTTTAGGCGATTTAAGGAAAAACTGGGACTTTCAAGCACTGCGATTTAATGCGATTTTAGGCGATTTAAGGCGATTTAAGAAAAAATCTTAAATTTTAGGGATTGCAATTTAGGTGTTTTCAAGGTAATTGAATTTTATATTGTGCTCCGGTTTCCTCCCACAAGGCAAAATTGGCAGGGTGGGTTAGGATAAACACAGCTAGGAAAGTAATATCATATTCTCATTGTTGTAAAGATAAATAATCTAGGCTAACATAAGTAATCATAAAACTTGATGTAATCGGTCACTGAAAAGCCCCAATGGGGAACGAGCTGAATAATAATGTAATGTTTCCACACACATGCATATATATGCATTGTATGAAGCAAAATACAATTATTAGAACATGTATGTACATTTTATATAATGCTAGGTTAATTAATTATTGTATTTAACCTGAATCATATATAAAGCTCAATATTCATGAACTTTTCATCCATTGTCTATAAACAGTTAATAAGTTTACCCTATTTAGGGGGTATGTATGCTACATAATTGCAATATGCCAACCTATAACTAAACTACACATGTCTTAAACTTTAATATTATTAATTTATGTTGAGTTAATAAAATTGCAAAATATAATAATTATTTGATTTCCAAAAGAACCACAGCCCACAAGGGGTAGAAACGCACAATGTATTTATACAGTAATGATAAGCTATAATGCTATAAATTACCTTGTCACGCTTGTAAGTGAAATTGTCTTGTTTTGTATCATGTCAACACTTCTTTATTTAGCTTGCATTTTATTTAAACTGTTTCAATCTCGACATCTCGTGCTTTCTTTATGCTACAAACATGTTTTATAAAATGTTTGATATCTATAATTCAGTAATTCTATATCCCAGTGCTATCCAGAAACAGTATCATCACGCATTCGGAAATTGTCGGCATAATGCCGTGATGTTTAATTTACATGAAGTATATCGTGGTAGGAATTCTAAATTATTTTAAAGTGCCACTGTGACCAAATTTTCATTTCTGTTTTTTTCCCATGATTGTGAAGAATGCGTATAAAGAAGCTGTCACGCAAAATTTCAGCGTGATATCTTATATATCAGTGGCCTGAGTTATACGACGATGAAGTTCGAATTTTGGCGGACGCCATTAAAATCCGTCGCCATATTGGAAAGTTCAAATGTTCGGGAGTCTGTGACGTCATAGTCTTAACACATGCTGGGCGTGCAACATAAAAATATATACGCGACTATAGTAAAACTTGATCATGCCTTCATCGCGTTGTGTTGTAATTGATTTGAAGAAAGCCTTTGATACTGTTGATCATCAAATTCTGCTGAACAAATTAGAGCTCTATGGAATAAAAGGACAAGCTCTAACTTTGCTCAAATCCTATCTCACAAACAGAAACCAGAAGTGCCAAATAAAAAACTCATTTTCATCTGAGCGCTTGATAAAATGTGGTGTACCACAAGGCTCTATATTAGGGCCATTATTCTTTTTATTGTACATCAATGATTTGCCACATTGTCTAAACAAAACCAAACCGCGGTTGTTTGCTGATGACACAAATTTGACTGCTTCAGCAAATTCTATGACTGACCTAGAGACTGCAGTAAATTCTGATTTAGAGAACCTTAGAAAATGGTTAATAGCCAATAAACTTAGCCTCAATGTAGCTAAGACAGAGTTTGTGTTGATTGGCTCTAAACCTATGATCAAAAATATTCTGATTCTTTTCCAAATGTTCACATTGAAAATATACAAATTAAACAAGTTCATGAATGCAAAACTCTAGGAGTAACAATTGACCAGCATTTATCTTGGAAAAGTAATACCGAAAATATTTGCAAAAAAGTTACAGCAGGAATCTCTGCTATTCGTCGGATCAAACCATTTGTTGATCAAGATACACTTATTTTGATATATAACACTATTGTTCGTCCGTACTTTGACTACTGCTGTGAAGTATTGGATGTATTTGGCGAAACTCAATCAAAACGACTGCAAAAACTGCAAAATAGAGCGGCAAGAATTATTCTGAATATAAGCAATGACGTAGATTATACGGTTGCTTTACGTACTTTGGGCTGGGAGCCACTCCAAACTGAAAGGAAGAAAACTAAAGCAAGAATGATGTATAAGTTATTAAACAAAATGGGCCCAAAATCCCTCACAAATCTATTTTCGTTTAAGAGTGAGAAAACTAATTACCACCTTCGGGATGTCTCAAGTGGTCTTTATTTACCAAAACCACGTACAAATAGCATGAAAAATAGTTTTATGTACGACGGAGCAAACATTTGGAATTCTATACCAAAAGAAATTAGGGAAAGCAAGTCACTTTCTTCCTTTCGAAATAAAATCGCTGCTCACATTAGTGCTTGGTAACCTTTGTAAATATAACTTACCTGTAAATAGCTCAAAACATTTGTTATATCTTTTAAATTTATATATTACTGTAATAGCTTAGCTTACCTTATCATATTCTGCATGTAAAATAATTTTCTGGCACACGCCCCCCGTGGAAATCAGCTACGGTTGACGGGGTCAGCGTGGATAAATAAAGTTCTACTACTACTACTGTACAAGATTGCAGCAATACTTCTGACAAAAACGCGGGTATAGATCATTGCATGAGAGCCCAAATGACGAATCTTTGAGAAGAATATCGGTTAGATTTGTGCAAACTAAGCACGCCAATTTTTATCCAAGCTGGCGGGAAATTCGATTCATGATTTGTTTGGACCATTTTGAGCGTTTATATTTCATTTGGATGGTTGCAAAGACGACTCAAACCAGATTCTGTGCCTATTATTTGGAGGAAAGCGCCTGCGTGACTAACAACAAGAGACAGGCGCGGCGTAAGGTTTAGTCAGATCAGATAGATATGAATATATTTTAGCTACATACATATTTACATAATCAGATAAGTCCAGACAATTATAAATTCACGCGAGAAGTGTTGTTCTCATATTATTGAAAATAGGTTTAAATTTTAAACGAGTTGGGCGAAACTGCAAACAAGACTGATACAAACGAGGATGAACCATCGAGCTGTTTTTTTAAACTCCGTGTAAGCTCGCTGATCCGTGTTCGAGAATGTTGATCATATTTTATTGTAACAACAACACGGTAATGCATGTGAGATGCCTTGAACTGCCCGTAAATTATCATACCAAACCACGAGCTGTCTGTAGAAAACTGCGCGTAAGAACCTATAAAATATATAATATTGAATAAATATGCGCGCACAATATATGTTAATGCTTGTTTAATAACAACATCGGCATAGTAGGCATACTTCAGGTTGACAGCAATGACAACATTCACACCTTATAAAAAATGCAAAATAGAAGTTCAGAGATACGTTTTAATTTATAACTTCGGCAAATAAGAACAGAAACTTACCAAGACGATACATATCAACATGGCCTTCAAAACGATTTTGTAACATATTTTCGAGCTGTTCGTCTTCTGCTACAGCTTCGTCGACTTTGTACTTGGCTACCTCTTCAGACGAGGCAAGCGGCTCCAGCAATAGTATCATCAAATGGCAAAAATTCATTGTCAGGTTCGCTTGAGTTCGCTGTTATATAAACAGATGAGATGCGGGAGAATCTGTTTCAGACAAATACTCCGAAGTGCTACTAGATCGCGACAAAACTGACATTTTAGTTCTTGAAATATATGCGATGCTCTACGTTTTCTTACTAATTCTAATTATTGTGCCCTTGCGGTGTGTTGAGACTATGATGTCAGAAGCCTCTCGTGACAACATAAAATCAAGATGGCGGATTTTAATGGCGGACAGCGAATTTGGACATTTCAAATGCTTGTAACACCGTGGTCGTTAATCATGTTCGCCTGAAATTTTACACAAGTATTTTTGGTGCAATAATAAAGTCGTTGCTAGCAAAAACGGAAATTTTCTCGATGATGAATTTTCGTTACAGTCGCACTTTAATTAAAGAATTAAACAAAATGATACTACAAATGGCGCACTACATCGTGGTTTTAGGTCTTTTACCATCAATATGTTTAAATTTGTCAAGTGTTCTGCAAACAAACAACAACAAAGATTGTATGGTATGTACGTTGTAATAATTATTTTACTGTTTATTTTATATACAGGTCTGGAAAATTTAATAGATGAGAGTTGCAAAACTTGCAAATCTCGCTCATAACCTCACGTATGTTTTCCGTTTGATAGCCAATACAATTATAATTAACTAGGAGCTAGAGTATATAACCATGCACATGTCGAAGTACAACCATACAATGCAGTGCTCGATCTACACGCAAAAGTGCCACAAATTGCACGATGACCTTTTTATATAAATCAACACATTATAGATTAATTTGTAGCCCAGCCTCCACAGTCCATATAAATTGTAGTCCAGCCTCCATTTACACCAATAATGAAATTAACTAGTAACTCGATTTTGTTGCAGGTAGTGTGTGGGATCTATGGTTCTTTTAGATATCAGAATTGCCTAATTATTGTAAATTCTGCATAAAGCAGAAAAAGGCTCTGTTTTTATCAATGACCGGTGCCTATTGAGTGACCAAATATTGTCAGCCTAATCCACTTATTTGATTTATCTATGTTGCATTACTTTTGATTGCAAAACACCTGAATGACGTGATTTTCCAGCAAAATAGCAGAAATTGATAAACTTGAGTATACATAGTGTGAATGTATCAAATTAAGCGATTTTAGGCGATTTAAGAGAAATTTGACAATTTTAACCCGCGATTTAATGCGATTTAAGGCGATTTACCGCCCCAGAGTAGGCCTTTTCTTTGTCGTGTTGTGCCACAAATCGTAAACTATCTATAATACAGTAAGATGTTTTCAAAACAAACTAAAAATATTAACTCGACGATTTTGATGTAAACGTAGCTTGGACAAAACTTTAAAATCAACCAAGATGGCGCATAATGACACATAGTGACGTCATGTGCAAGTAAATAATTCATAATCGATTCTTAGCCCGCCTTAGGAAAACTTATGAATGCAATTCCTTTTCGTGCATGGATATTTTTCACCCATGCTTGCTTTTTAGAATTATTTAACGTTGTCTGTTGTTGTTACACGCAATTATTAGATAAATGTGCATAAAACAGAGTGTATAAACTGTATGTTATTGCATATTTGAATGCTATACCTATCGAGTATCATTTTAGTAGGAGCCAACTGGGATCATACAGCATCACAATGTCATAGTCATTCACATAATATTGTCATTTAAAATTTTGTTATTGGCCTTTTTTCGCCATAAAACATAGTCTCATTCACAACAGCACCCAATTACGCACTTTACGGATGGGCAAAGTAGGTTCACGATCCGTGAATCATTTTCACGAATCGTACGGTTCGTACGGTCGGCAAAAAGCCATTTCACGGTCTGTACGAACTGTACTACCCGTACGGATCGAAAAACTTTTCTGGCCTGATTTAAACACAACAGCACCCATGCATTGACGCACTTTACAGTTTACAAAGTAGGTTCATGATCCGTAAATTATTTTCACGGACTGTAAATTCATAATGATTTCACAGTTCGTACGAACCGTACGGATTGTGTTCAATGTTTCGCCATCTTCACGATCCGCATATACGTTCGACAATATTGGACGAACTTCAAATATAAGAAATATTTTTTATTTTATTTTATTTACACTTCGTGCGCTTAGATTAAATGATATATTATACATAAATAACATAACATGCATCATATTACATATACAGTTGATTCGGATGATTACTTAAAACACAAAACCTGTAGAAAACAAATTAGCTCTAGTTATAATACATAAGATTAATTAGAAATATTTCACAAAATACAGAATTGCAACAAAATATAATGAAGAAATGACAGTAGGGAAAGAGCGACAACGGAGCTAAAGGAAGGCAAAGTTTGGACACCTTAAGACATTCTTTAAAAAACAATTTGCAATGGGTTCTAAGGAGCAAAAACAGTAATTAGTGAAACGTCGTCATAAGATGCAGGTCAATCTGTTTTGGAATGATGATCATAGACGAGGAATATTTTGGCACGTGTATAGGAACGCACTTATATGGTCACCCTATACACTCAGGGGGTGATCCTACGTATAGAAGGTAAAAGAGTGTGTTTTCATGAAGTATAGGCCGGCCACCATACTCAAAGATTATCTGAGTCGCTTCGAAAGAGTAACGATACCTAAACGTGATTGCAAAACCGATTGTGTTTAAGAATCGCATCCAAGTGAAATGATGGCGACATTGTCCTCGGTTCCTCTGTGTTGCAATGCTGTGGTCTTTTTTAACTAGAATTGACAAATATGCTGCGTTATATCAGTTCATATACATTGCATTAATACGCTTAGAGTCCCCGGAAGCAATTTGAAAGTGGAGGGGCATTGGCCAAAATGGACACTTTTGTATCTTTCCAAAATCAAACGATTTTAATTCGTTCACGAGCCGAACAAAATTTTTTGAAAATATGGAGTCTCTATATAACGTCGGAAATGGCCTTTACAGAGTCATTACTACTGCGAAACGGGCACTTTCTTTCCATCAAAAGAGGGCGTTCATTCAAGAAATACTTTTTTGTTCTCTAAATGGGACTCTTTAGCCCAGAGAAAAGGGCACATTTTCACTTTTAAAAAAGTGCTGGCGCACACGCATGCCCGCATTGTCCCCAGGTTCCGCGGTCCTTGAATACGCTGAATAACACGACGTTATATATTGCTTATATACAGCCCAATATTCATAATTGATATTATTTTTATTTATGACAATTTTTAGTTGAATCATCGTTCCTCTAATAAATCGTATTCATTGTATAGTTTCAATTCAGCGCCATTGTCGTTGCATCATATTAAAACTATTCTTTGTTATAAGAAACTCTTTACCATGGAATATGCAGACGACAAGCGGTTTCTGATTTTTTCTTTATACCATCAATTGAATGTCATTGCGAAGAGTAATGTCTATTCGACATTCAGTTAGCACAGATTCCTTTCAGAACTTTAAAAGCTTCTTTTCGCAACGCTGTCCTTGTCCAGAAGAAGATAACGGAGTTAAGTATTGTGTTTACTCCAAGGGCTGTAACAAACCAAGCAATTGTAACCCTATAGAATATTATGTCCTTTTCGAGATAATAAAGGCTCACGATCTCGCCGGGAATACAAAGAATATAGAATGTAACTACAACCAATGCACAAGACTTGGCAAGCTTTAACTCCTTCGCGGAATATCGTTTTCCAACACGTGATTTTGACACGTTTTCTTCGCAACTTGTGCTGCAGTTGTGTCGTAGCAGACTTTTCCTTGCTGAATAAAAAATCCGTGTGTAGCAATATGTATGTAGCAGCATAGGAATCATTACGTTGACCGCGCAAAAAATGTAGTAGAATGTGGCAGAAACCACAGCCAAGGGGATTATTGTTAATGTTACAAGTATAGCACAGCAAATGTATATTAAAAACATTTTCTTTGTAACGTACTTAAGATGTGCAAATGGATGCAAAACGCCCATGTATCTCTCAATAGTCAATGCAGATAGAGCTGCTACGGATAATCCCCATGGTATAAATGCTATTGTAGACAAGACAAAACTTAACACACAGTCTGGCGAACCAAAAACTTCCCTGAGGTGAAGGTAACTGAACAATGGGAGGGTAAGTAATCCAACAAACAAGTCAGCCATTGACTGGATAAATACGGGAAAGTGAGAAACCTTCGCTCTCATCAGCTGGCTTTTCCAGATTGTAAGAACAGTAATACCGTTCAAAAGTATTACAGGAATCATTAGTATGCACATTGCCACAGATGTAATAACTTGATTGACGACATATTTACTTGAAGGAAATTCAACGATAAGGAGACGTTTGTGCCCGACTATTGAACACTCTTTAATGTAGTTGGTTGCTGAATTATTCATTTCCATTTCTTCCATCCTGGATTTTAATTTTGCGCTTTCTTGAATTCTGTACTGATGCAAAGCTAGAAGAAGATAAATTAATCCCAACATTGAAATCGATGATGTACCAGTATACGTTCTGATGATATATACAATTTGATATATATTATAATTTGCGCAGGGGTGTAGCCAGCCTCAAAAAAGTGGGGTGTCTAATCGTCCATCCATCCATTCATCCATCCCGTGGTTCCCGAATTGTTTTAGAAATTAGGGTATGGGGAATACTATTTCATGCATTTAAACACGTTTCATGATAATTTGGAAGACCTGTATTTGGTAAATTTTATGTCTATGGATGAAAGGATTACGAGGTTACGCCTCCACGCCCCCCCCCCCC